ATTTGTAAAGCTGAATTTCAGTACTAAAATTACTTGAAGTGTTACGAAGAACTAAACACAGCTGCAGACCGGCTGCATTAGGAGCTTCCTTCATTCACTGGCATTGTTCTGCAATGTTTCACACATTTCAGAATGTCCCGGCGTTGCAGCTAAATGCTGTGGTGCATAGTTTCCAGGAGATGCAAGGCGCCACGACCGTTACGAATGCTACGCATCGTGCATCCACATTTGCAGATTTCTCTCCCTCTTTGGTTCTTTTTTTTTTGCATTTTGATTGCATATCGTTTCATTCAGGTTCCTAGCAAATTCATTAGCTGCGTTTGTGTGGAGGAAAGCATTCACTTTTCTTTGATTTCTATCGGGAGAGGTTGACAGGACGTGGGTGATAATTCATGTGAAAAGGAGAACACTGCTTCAACCGAGAATTTTGCCTAATCGGACTGTAGGAGAGGAGGATTCAGTGATAGGTCAGAGGGCGCTAATCCGAGGCAACTGAGCAGATCAGGAGTGGTACATTAATAGAGTATTAGTTTGGCTTAACATGTTTACCTTCTTGACATAAAAAAGAAAGACCTATATGTAGGGCATTTATAACTTTCGCCAATTTTTACTGTGATAGGGGACTTCTTCGAATATATGCAAGGTGTGTTTTATTTTTTGAAACGCCGAGTTTTTGCCATTTGCTTGTTTCCAGTGCAAAGAAGTCGTTTTTCTTTTTTGCAGCTGCCCGTATCTGTTTAGCATCACTTATTCTCTTATATGTTGAAGGCACAACGAAAGGTGTGCGTGCAGCAGGAAACTGTGACTTCGATAAATCCAAGGCTTCGTCCAAAACCGTGTGCAAGTGCTGCCCGTTTAAATTTGTCCGGCTCCGTTTCACGACTTCTTGAGGTAAACGTTATCGTAGAAATCTAATACAGATAATTTCATTGACATTGCTTTGTTATTCTGAGAAATTTTTCAGGCGCCGCGTATTAAGCAGGAGAATAGTTCTGTGTCGAAGATGGCAGTGCCAGACGCAGGTATCTGGTTTTGAAAAAAGTTCTTGTTATAACGAGTTGGAATGAATTTTCTTCTAGTTATCGAACGGTTGT